CAAAATTCTCAGTGGGTTAGGATGGAATTTGAGTTCCTGGCTAAAATCCTTGATTAGTACTGTGTTGCTATTGTTAATAGTATTCTTAGCAATACTACTTATTTTCTATTGTCTAAAGAAGGAATTCACTAAGAAGACTGCCCTCAACCAGTTAATCATACAAGCAGTAGCCAAGGGACAAGATTTGAATGATTCGATCACAGCGCTCCCACCATCATGTAATAAATTGAATCATCAGCATGAAATGTTGATTTAAGATGGAAGTATTGAAAAGATAATTATTTCAAAACTTCCAAAGGGGGGAAACGATACCTTAAGGGTCAAAAGACCCCCAGATGTAAGTGGCTTATATGCATAAGATTTAGGCCTTATTGTCTAGCTTGCTGTTACTTTGCTAAAATTAGTATTGTCTAGCTTGCGGTTGCTTTGTTAAAGTCAGTAGTGTCTAGCTTGGATTTTTTGTTCTTCTTAAAGTCTGTAGTATAGTTACTTAGTGAATTTAGAACCCTTTTCAAGGACGGGAAGAATCGGGAGGGGATGAAGCAAAAGATAATAATGGTTTGCCAAGGTTGCCCGACTAGAAGGAATGAGAACTAATTGATGTAGAAAGATTTGTGGCTCCTTACAAAGGACAGTTTTTTGATAAGAACCAGGTGTTTACCTCAAGAGCTGGTCTACACCAACCCTGCAGTTTGGGCAAGAGCCAAGGAGCAACTGAGTCTGCGCAAGAACAAGGGGTTACTAGCGGTGATGAAGAGGAGCCATCGGCCTTCATCCCCACGACCCCCGACGACCACCACCAGGAGGCACTGAGCAGGCGCAGTGGGGAGGGACTTATGGAAATGACCTCCTGAAGCTAATTTTAATACAAAGCGGAGACAGGTTATGCATATGTATAGGCATATTGGAAAAATTCATACATATGTAATACTTTGCTACATATAAACGGGCAAGTTGCCGCTTGATGGTATGCACGTTAGGTGGAGCGATCCCCCGTGCATCCGGCGCCATGAATAAAGAATGCCTGCCTTTTAACACTACATTGGTGTTACGAGGTTCATTCTTCCTGATTTTGGTGACAGTTTTTGGCGACCCAGAGGGGACAATGCTTGCGAATCTTGACAGATCCACGGGATCACGGGACCTCCAGCCGGCACCGAGGGATTCTCGGGGAGAACCTCTGATCCCTGGACCGAAGAATTCTAAGCAAGTCCCCTGGAAAGGTAATAAGGCATTCTTTTAAGGGGGGTAATGGAGTCTCCTTTTTCATTGGGGGCCAATGTATAGATTGGAAAGTGTGGTGAAAATTGCGCTTGCGTTTCATGACGAAGGGATTTGCTGACTGCGATGGACCTGCTAATGACTGGTATATAAGAAGCAGGAGAAGGGTAAGCGGCCCCCCCTCGCAATTGCGCTTGGGTCTCATATTTGCAGCTGCTGGATGGATGTTAACTGGAGTGGTAATTGTACAATTTGAACACCCAGGGATTCTATGTTAAAAGTCTATTATCTTTGTGTGTGTGTGTATGTGTGTTTGAGACACAGCATTGCTGTGAAGCGAGTGGGAGTCCTGATTTGCGGTTCTGTAACTCCGCGAGGAGTGGAATGTTTAAACAGTGAAGTTTGCATGTGGGAAGAAGCATCTAATCCTGGAACTTTGGAACTTGTGCTAGGGAGACTGGGAGAAAACTATAGAGATTTGTAAGAGAAGATTTACGTGGAAAATGGATAACTACGTGTGAATGAGCTGAGTTAACTCTGGTGTGACTGGTGAATGAGTAACTGAGATGATATGATTGTAAAATGAGTGTGGGAAATCTGGAGAACTGTGCATTTCATTGTGAAAATGAATGTGAAACCTCCTTAACTAAGATTTGCCTTGTGAATTGAAAAAGCAAAAAAACAGCTGGAGGAGGAAAAAGATCAAGTGAAGAATTCGTAAATTGCTTTTAAGGAGTAACTCTTTGTGAATGCTGCCCACGAGGAGCACCCCCCTCCCCGGCTATTTGCCCTGTTAACGATCTGCAAGCGTCGAGAGAAAACTTGGAAAGTTTTCTAAAAAGGGAACCACCCTCACTGCGACCCTTAATTAAAACTGAATATAATTCTGAAGATGAGGGGGATCATTTTCCCTAAATTATAGCTAAAGAAATCCCCTACACCGATACCGAATTGGCAAAACTGAGAAAAGGCTTTGGCTGAACCTAAAGTGGTCAGAGTGGGAAAATAAAGGGCAACAAATCAAGGTTATTAAGATAATATGTGGGAGAATAATGGAGATACAAAATCAATAAGGAAGGGGACAGGGAATGAATATCGGAGAGAGAAGGAGGGTAAATTCCTGGCTGGCAGAAGGTCAATGTGCTATTTGTAAGGAATGTGGGCACTGGAAAAAAGAATGCCCTAGGGCTGGGGAATTAGACCCAGCTCTCTGGGCGATCAAATTAATGACCCTGGATGAATAATCATGAAGACAACCAGGGGAATCAACCCTAGCCGAACCCCTGGTTACACTGAAGCTAGGGAATGAAGAAATAGAATTTTTAATAGACAGGGGGGCTACTCATTCAGTACTGAATACATGCAAATGGAAATTTAGTCATAAAACAGTAGATGTTGTTGGTGCGACAGGGCAAAAAGAAAATTGGCCTTTCCTAAAGCCGCTAAAGTTTAAATTGGGAAAACAGTGGGTAACTCACCAGTTTTTGTATACACCTGAATGTCCATTAGCGACCCTTAATTAAAACTGAATATAATTCTGAAGATGAGGGGGATCATTTTCCCTAAATTATAGCTAAAGAAATCCCCTACACCGATACCGAATTGGCAAAACTGAGAAAAGGCTTTGGCTGAACCTAAAGTGGTCAGAGTGGGAAAATAAAGGGCAACAAATCAAGGTTATTAAGATAATATGTGGGAGAATAATGGAGATACAAAATCAATAAGGAAGGGGACAGGGAATGAATATCGGAGAGAGAAGGAGGGTAAATTCCTGGCTGGCAGAAGGTCAATGTGCTATTTGTAAGGAATGTGGGCACTGGAAAAAAGAATGCCCTAGGGCTGGGGAATTAGACCCAGCTCTCTGGGCGATCAAATTAATGACCCTGGATGAATAATCATGAAGACAACCAGGGGAATCAACCCTAGCCGAACCCCTGGTTACACTGAAGCTAGGGAATGAAGAAATAGAATTTTTAATAGACAGGGGGGCTACTCATTCAGTACTGAATACATGCAAATGGAAATTTAGTCATAAAACAGTAGATGTTGTTGGTGCGACAGGGCAAAAAGAAAATTGGCCTTTCCTAAAGCCGCTAAAGTTTAAATTGGGAAAACAGTGGGTAACTCACCAGTTTTTGTATACACCTGAATGTCCATTACCCTTGTTAGGATGGGATTTATTAAGCAAATTAAGTGCACAAATAACTTTTGAGGATGGAGAAATTAAGTTACTAATACCAGAATCAAAAGCCATAGAGGCAAGGGTGTTTATGTTACAGGATTCCCCTAGAGAAGAACAGATTCCAGAAGAAGTGGAAAATGCAGTAATTCCTCTGATCTGGGCAAGCGGAGTTCTGGGGCGATCTAAATTGGCAGAACTGGTAAAAGTGACTTTAAAACCTGGAGCTAAACCAGTAAGACAAAAACAACATCCTATTAAGTCAGAAGCTCAAAAAGGATTGGAGGAGCTAATTACAAAATTTCTAAAATATGGGCTACTGGTAGAATGTGAATCAGAATATAACACTCCCATACTGCCAGTAAGAAAATCTGGAGGCAAGGAATATTGATTAGTTCAGGATTTAAGGGCCATAAATCAAATAGTTCAAGATATACACCCAGTAGTGGCTAATCCATATATTCTACTGACCTCTTTAAAGGAGGAACACAAATGGTTTACTGTGCTAGATTTAAAGCATGCCTTCTTTTGCATACCTCTGGATAGAAAGAGCCAAAACATATTTGCTTTTGAATGGGAAAGCCCCACCACAGGA